CCCCCCACCCCCCCCCCCCCCCTCCCCCCCCTATCTCTCTCTCTCTCTCTCTCTCTCTCTCTCTCTCTCTCTCTCTCTCTCTCCTTCTTGTCTTCCATGTGAACTGTTCCACCATGCCTCCCCGCTTACCCGGTACGATGGACTAAAGTTTCTGAAACTACAACCCACACTAAACCTTTCCTCCCTTAAGTTGCTCTCGTCAGGCATTTGGGCACATCACTGAAAATCTATCCAATGATGTTGGCTTCACAGAAGACAGAACTCAAAGAACCCTGTCAAGCCTTTTCACAGAGAAATGCCAAGCCACCTCCCTATACCTGATCGGTGCACTCACCTGCTTTAACATCTACAAAGGTTCCCCAGCACTGGCTGGCAGGCAGGAATGATACACAGCAGTTAACAAGTACATGGCCTCTCACCTATCAGAATGGACACTACAGAGGCCACCAGAACACTCAAACCTAGGCCACCTGCAGAACGTCATCTCTGACTGCTGGTCCAAGGTAACCAGCCAATGCCCACTTCTCCAGCCACTCATTGTCCCTCAGCCAACACTATCACATCCTTTTCTACCGGTTTCTGCTAAAGATCTTTATACATACCATTTCCTCTGTCCACAGTGGTCTGATGCCCCCCCCTTCCCACACCAGGCTACCCACTCACTTTTCAAGTCCCTGCTGACCTACCAACTTTCTCAAGGTAGCCTTTCTCTGACAACCACCATCTCCCATCCACTTAAGTCAGGCCTGTCCTGGGGACCCTCGTTTGGCAGCCTACACATCTCTTTACGGTTAAGTATAGCCACTTTGAGTCAGTAGTGATTTGTGTAATTTACTACTTCCTGGGTTTTAGTTTAACTCAAGAACTGCATCTTATTTACTCTTACTGATAACCCTATTCTTGTTTTTAAAGATTTACTTTATTTTTTGTTCGTTTTGAGACAGGGTCTCCCTGTAGCCCCTGCCAGCCTGGAACTACATAGACCAGGTTGGCCACCATCTCATAGAGATCCACCTGCCTCTGCCTCCCAAGAGCTGGCAAGATTTACTTTATTTTTAATCATGTCTATGTGTCTGTCTGTGTAGGGGTATGTGCATGTTAGCAGAGGTGCCTGCAGAGGCTAGAAGAGGGCATCAGATCCCCTGGACCTAGAGTTACTGGGAGTTGTAAGCCACCATGTGGGTGCTGGGAACTGAACTTGGGTCCTCTGCAAGAACAGCAAGTGCTCCTAACCGATGAGCTGTCTCCCCGTCCCTGATAGCCCTACTCTTAGCATGTTGCCTAGCTCACACGAAAACAATAGCCAGTATTTAGGCAACATGGCCTACGTATCAGGCACTGTTACGGAGCCCCTATAAGCTAGAAGTTGCAAGAATATGCTATTTAAATAAGGCTACCGGGGCACAGAGAAGCTAAGGTTCAAGGCCAATAGAGGCAAGGTTGGAAGGTGATTCTGGTCAGTGGGGATGCAGAGCCCATGCTCTGAACCAATATATGGCATTGTCCTCATAGGCTTGTCAGATGGCTTCATGAAATGTGCTCATTTACAAGGGGCAGAACCTAGGAAGCTGCCCTCAAAGGGAACGTAGCCACGCTCTGCTCATGGGCGAGCAGCAAGCACAGGTGCAGGCAGAGCTAGAAATAACCGGGGTCAACAGCCTGTAAACAGCACGGCTGGCCAACAGCGTTCCAAAGCTTTGCGACTTCATCCCATAGGGATCCCCACCCAAACCCAGAAACGAACATTTCACTGTTAAATCAAGTACTTTTCCATCACGCCCCCAGTGCCTCTTCCCACACTCAGAACACTCCCTGCTTAGCTAAGTACTCTTCAGGACGGTAACAGATGAGAAGCAGCAAAGGAGATCCCAGACAACCGGGCCAGGTCCTCCGTGACCTCTTCCCCGTGCAAAAGACAACACACCTTTACCTTGAAACAGAAATGCTTTGCTGGCGTTGTGCAGTCCGGCCACCTGAGTGACTCCGAGGGTGGTGTTCACAAGGTCAAGTTCTGTGACAATGTCCATCTGAAGGTCAGGGTCCAGCCCAAAGCCCACCACTGGAAAGAAACACAGAGCCATTTTATTTTAACAGACTGCTAGCCATTATAAATACAGATCACAGAGGCCAGGAGTGGAGGGGATTCAGACAAGGCAGTTAGAGTACTGGAGCATACTCTAGGTACTCCCCTCTCTAGGGAGAAGGGAAAGCAGCTCTGTCCTTCACACACACACACACAC